AGTCAATTCTTAGTGAGTTTGACAACTGATTTTCTTCCCCATCCCCATTCCCATTTTCTCCTCCCCTCTTCCTTCCCTTTGTCTCTTCCTCCTTCTTTCTTTAGACAAAGTTTTGTTATATAGCCTAGGGTGACTTGAACCTGCCAGTGTTGCCCAGTCTGGTCTGATATTCACATCTTTCTCTTTCCACCTCTCTGCTGCTGGGACCGACTGGGCTACTGGGCCCAGCTTTCTGAAAGTCATTCTTCCCTTTTTTATGGGTCAGAGTGCAGCTCTGGAAAGAAGGGGAACATGAGAATGAATTCTTAACCAGAATTGTGAAGTAAAGACAGACATCTGTGAACATTATACACACACACACACACACACACACACACACACGAGAGAGAGAGAGAGAGAGAGAGAGAGAGAAAGAGAGAGAGAGAGAGAGGAGAGTCAATGGTATTCTGAGTTCTCTAAGATGGATTAGACAGCTGTGCCCCCCCCCCCCCCATCTTGGTTTTCAAAGAGTGAGCCACATCTACCTCCTGTTCTCCACGTCTCCAATTCTCCTCTGTTCTTGGTTATTTTTACCCCAGTTGGCTATGAATGAAGTCCTGCCGGTGCCATTACAACCGAGGTCCGATGCTGGTTGAAATACCAAGACTGCCAAGGTGTTTGGGACACCAGCATTTAGAACCCTGGCTGTCGGATCAGTAGAACATCACTGTCCCTTGATGCCAGGCCCACCCATGATCCTCGAACTGACTTTCTGAAGTCCACGGGTGTAACCAAGCCTGTAGAATCCGAGCTCCTCTATAAAATTGAATTAGAGAGCAGAGTGAGTTAACTGTTTGCGCCTCCTCTTGTGCAAGGCATCTTTAATTACATTTCATAAAAATGTCTGGATGGATTGATGGGACTTTATTTAAACTTTAGGCAGGCACAGAAAGGAAACGATAGCGCAATATACCATGTTCTGTTACTACAGGTTCAGAACTCATTTACTTTATGGTGGTTCAACAAAATCTTTGATGTGGGGCTACTTAAAAATATATTACCTTTGAAAAGATCTCCTTTGGAAGACGGAGTGGGTGCTTGGCAGCCTGTAAGTGGTCGACCAGATGATCAATTGACAAACATGTCAACATGCATCATTCACTGTACCAGCTCCTCTGGTACATGCAAAGCACTGGTTTATTTTAGACAAAGAATACATTTCTCAAAACTCCTTTCATTCACACTGTAGGATTTATGAATTGAGCCTCGCCGAGCATAAGCTCTTTGCAATGAAGGGGCAAATCTCTTTGGTCTGTCTGCCATGCATTTCTATCAGTTTCGAATAGTTGAGGATCTGGACTGGGCACGTGACATATGGAAGGAAAATAGATACAGCTTCTAGTAAACAACAGCACAGCCTGTAGAGATGTTATATTTCATTGTGAGGATTGTATTTATACTTGCAAAAGAGCTATTACTGCTCTGCTAGAATAATATTTACGCCATTTTCCCCACCTTCGTGAATGCTTTGATGGAAAGAAAAGATTGTGTTTTCCTCCTGGGGAAGATCTGTTTGCTATGCTGCTAAATGTGTTGGGTGAAAATCGTGCCGATACCTCCCTCCTTACAGCTCTGAGAGATGGAGGATGAATGCTGTGTGTGCACCCACAGAGGAGAGTCGGTCCAAAGAAGAATAGGGTATGATGTACCCCACGGAGACACCCCCTTGTCTGGTGTAAGAATGACAGATAAAAACAATGTTCCTTGTTGGTTTCTAATTCTACTATGGAAAAGTACACTTCTGAGTGCTTGCTTGGTGGGTTGGGCTCATTGGTGTAATTACTAAGTAAGTAAACAAAAAACTGTGTCTTCCTATTGAACGAAAGAAGTGGATTTGTTCCAGCAAGGGCACAACTCTTTGACAGAGTGGACAAGCATAGATAAAAGGATCTGAGAACCTGTGGGATTGACCTTGCCCTTCATGGCTACCAGGAATTTACTTACTATGGTAGAATGGTAGACATGGCTTTGGGGAAGGCCTGGTCTCCAGGAGGGATAGCTGAGTTGATACTATAAGCCTGGCAGCTTGAAATGGGTTTAATCTTTTTGTACAGAGTTTAACTCATGGGTTACTTAGGTGATGTTTGTATGATGACCGAGTCTTTACTTCTTGCAACCCATCTGCTCTGGTGTTAGCACAACACTGCCTGACCTTTGAACTTCATTGCCTCTCCTGCTCCCAGCTCCTTAGTATTGGCAACTCTCTCCTGTAACATGGAGGGCTTGCTTTAAAAAAAAAAAAAGAGGGGGAAGTGGTGTGGGAGAATTGTCTGTATTCTGTCAATCATGTTTTAAATAAATGCTGATTGGCCAGGCAGGAAGTATAGGCGGGTCAACCAGACAGGAAGTAGAGGCAGGGTGATGAGAGCAGGAGTATTCTGGGAAGAAGGAAGCTCTACCCACAGTCCTGCCCAGATCACGGAAGAAGCAAGATGTGATCTACCCTGCTGAAAAAGGTACCAAGCCATGTGGCTAACATAGATCAGGATAATGGGTTAATATACGTTGTAAGAGTTAATACAAAGCCTTAGCTAATGGGCCAATCAGTTTATCACTAATATAGACTGTCTATGTGATTTTTCTTTGGGGGCTTACTGGCTGTGGGAACTGGGCAGGACAGAAACCCGGACAAGCATGGTCCTCATGCTACACTCTCCTGACATGCTCTGGTAGAAGACGGCTTAGAAGTCCCATATCCTGTGGGTCACTGAACCACATCAACATATTGTCATTGCTTCCTGGTCCTCGTGGCAGTTGGAGCCTCTCATGTAGGGACATATGGCAAGTCATCAAGGCTCTCAGGGCACAAGGATGTCCTGTAGAGGGGTAAGAAAGTGCCATCCATGACTGATGGCAGGAACAGAAGCTGCTGTCCCCTGGCTTTGCTACCTGCAGCGTAGCATGGTGTGTGTGTGTGTGTGTGTATGTGTGTGTGTGCATGCGTGCACATGCACACATGTTTGTGATTGGGGGAGGCAGCCTTACTCTCTGGAAGGCCCCTAGCATGCACTTTCATGGTTACAGCAGGAGTTCCTACCTGGCTCTTTCAGAAAGTTGTCTGGGGTGCTGACCCTCTATGATACAGCATGTCGCCTGGTTTCAGGCTGGTCACTTCTAGCTCTCATCACTGCCGTGGGACATTCAGTGACTAATGAACTTCTATAGTTGGGCTGTTTGATGAGCGAGGCCTGGGTTGGTAATCTGCCTTCCCCAGGATTATCAGGTTTGCCTTTACATCTGGGCTTCCAAAGCTATGATCTTTAAACATCCTCTTGTGTTATACCCACAAGTACCCCAGTGTACAAAAGCAAGAGGTTCACCTGCTCATGAATCAGCACTAGAGAAACCAGAATTGTTAAACACCCAAGCCTTTTTCTTCAATGGAAGAAATCCATTAAAAAATGCTGGTTGGAGTTAGTGTTGTTTGCTGACCTGGTGATCTTGGGCTAGTGTATGGAGCCAGCCTTCTCCCAAATCCCCCCCAAATCCCGAGCACCGTTTCTCAGTCAATAGGATCCATTCTGATGCTTATTGTGAACCCTTTCTCTCTAGGCCCAGACTCCTGAGCAATGTTTCTCAGTCAACAGAACCCATTCTAGTAGAGAAGTTCACAAGGGGCTTTGCTAAAGAACGTACTTTGCAAAGGAGTTTTGATGTAGCCACACCTAAAGCTTTGTTGTGATAATTGTCATGAGGGAAAGTTTGTTCAAAGTTTTACCGTAAAAAATAATTCACTTGGCATCAGACTTCACAAGTTTGACCAAGTGTTGGTTGACTAACCAGCTGGTTGAGCGGAACCAGATTTCTTTCTTACACCATCCAGATCATTTTCTTGCCAGCCGTGATGCTTACAGAGACCACCACACCCCAGTTTCATTCAGAATGTGTCTATGTAATCCCAGTAGTCGGAGCTCTGCCTTATTTCATAAGATCCCCAGGTATCTTCCTCTAAACCAGTGTTTCTCAACCTTCCTAAGGCTGCTACCCTTTCATATCTCATGATGTGATGAATCCCAACCATAAAAGTATTTCATTGCTACTTCGTAAGCGTAATTCAGTTACGGTTAGAAATCATAGTGTATGCAGGATATCTGATATGTGACCTCTAAAGGGGTTGCAACCCCCAGGTTGAGAAATACTGCTTTAGGTCCTAGAACCATGGTGCCTAAAGTGACTCACATATGGGTAAACTTTCAGAGGCTACCGACATTGTTTGCTTCTGCTAGCTCGGAGGTGTTTTGCTTGCTCAGCCCTGCCTTTGTGTTTCCCAAGCTGCCCGCCCAACCACTTAGGGTGGTACCCAAATGGAAGATAACACATTCTAGGCTCATCCCAGAACTACACCTGTGGCTCAGGTACTGCCCTGATGTCAACACAGCCCCACGAGCAAACACGAGTCAGTAGCCCTGCAAAACAGGGGTGAGCACGGTGCTTCCGGGTCATTTCATCAACGGTGCTTCAGGGGGGGTCCCTGAAGCCCTGCCACTCTCGTTCTAAAACACGTGACAGGTCAGGTGAGATTCAAGTAGTCAGACTCATAAGCCTGATCCTGGGGAGGGAGAAGTAGGAGGGAGGCGGAGGCTCCAGGACCCAGTATAACACGTGCGTGAGCCCACAATCTATTTTAACAAAAAAGGATTTGAGGTCTGTAATTTTCTCAAACTGAAAAACCTCAGCTTGGAGGCAGATCTGGGAAGTTGAGCCTGCTTAGCTGTACCCGTGGGTGAGAATTCTTGTCTTTTGACAACCCACTGAGCAGGCATTGAATCACCCAATCACTGCAAATTCTTTTCTAAATAGAAAGTACTCCACAGCTCCTGATGGAAAAATTCCAGGGTTTGCAGCAAGTATCTGGCTCATTGGAAGAAGTAGGGTTTTTGGCAGGAGTGGTGCTCCTTGGCTTTATTTCCAGCACCAACAGAACTTCTCTGCAGATAACCTAGGAATAAACTTGGCAAGAATCTTGGGGGGTGGGGAGGTCTGTGAGAATGCCTCATACCCTCCCTATCTCTGGGCTCGGGGCCCCTACCCGGTGCAAAGAACAGGCCTCTTGTTTGGGAGGCTCAGTTGTGTTTGCTCAGACCCAGAGTGTGTGGGTGTTTAGCTCAGCCAGAGAATTTGATACACACTGAGGTCAAGGGTGGTATGGTCACAAGTGGGCATGAACAGGAGAAGCAAGGTGTGGGTGGGAGGGGATGGGTGTTCCAATCTGCCTCATTTTCCAGGGTCAGGAGCAATTTGCTTCTAAACAAAGCTTTGAGTGGAGACTTCAATGCTGTGTTGTTGAGACAAACCACGTGTAATTGGTTTCCCTGCTCACATATGGGACAAAATAGCCTGACAAAAGCGTCTTCGTGGAGGAGCGTTGATCCTGGCGTCACAGGTTGAGGGGTGCAGTCTATCATGGGGTGGTAGGAACTGGAGGTCGCTGGTCACATTGCATCCACAGTCAGGAAGCAGGAAGAAATGAATGATGGTCTTTAGTTTTCTTCCTCTTTTCTGAGGTTCAGGATCTGAACCTCCCAACCCACATGGAAAGGTGCCAACCATAGTAGGGCGGAGCTTCCTACCTCATCGAACTCAACCTAGAAAATCCCTCACAGATGTGAGCAAAGGCTTGCCTCTTCAGTGGTACTGGATTCTGTCAAGCTGACAACATTAACCATCATGCCATTTAACCTTAAGACAAATAAAAAAAATTTAGCTTGTCCCACTGTTTGTATGACTTCTTATGCTGTAGGCAGGTACAGTGACAGATTAACCAAAGGCAATGGAATTTAATGAAGAATGCAGAGTCCAAGGCCACCCACATTGTACCTGTTTGTGCTTTGTTCTTCTAATTTGTCTGAACTCCAGCAAGAGCCTTGGTTGGGGGGCAGTGCCCTCCTGGGGACGCTTCCCCACAACTTTGCTTTTCTTATCCAGGGGATACCATTTCACTCATGGTTGTGGTTTAAATGGTGTCATCACCACTGGTTATCACGTGGCCCTCTAAGAACGAATATATTTTCCCTCTAATTAAGGCCAGCGCTTGAAAAGATAAAGGGTATTATTGTAGGCGCTAAGGTTTTCATTAACATCGAAACCCCAGGCAAAGCAGGATCATTGCTGCGAAGTGAATCCAGTTGTTGCTGAAGACTTTGCAGCCCGCTAGGCAGAGCATCCTCAAGGTCTTTCCAAGACACCGCGGTTCGAGTCGGTTTGCCCACCGTCCATGGAGCAGTGCAAACACCTCATGACTGTTTCACGTGTCCTAGTGTCACTGGCATCAGCGGGTCACGTGCCAAGGCCACTTCTTTCTGCTAGTGTTGTGACTCTGGCTGGGCTCTGTCCTGGTTGCGGCTGATGCGAGCTTCTGGCTGCAGCCCATGACCCAGCACACAGAGCTCCAAAGGAGATGCCCACTTGGTGCCACTGCCCTGCAATTCTGGGGCACAGGAATTATTCCAAGGTGGGAGCTCTTGCTTGGGGCTCTCCTCACTGCTGCTTCCGCTGCCAGGAGAAGGTACAGTGACAGATCAGACACTCCTCGCTCCTTCCCTGTTCCCCTCTCCCCTCCCCTCCCCTCCCCTCCCCTCCCCTCCCCTCCCCTCCCCTCCCCCTGCCTTTCCATTTCTTACTTGTCAGGCTAGATTATCCTTTCTGTGTTCTTGGTCTAGCTAGATGTGTTGGGAACCAGCTCCCAGCACTTCCCAGCAGGTTCATTCATGCTTTTTCCTCTATGTCTAGATTCCTGCAGCTCTCTGAACAGGCCTGGGGGAATTGGGCCCTTATTTAGTTTAATTTTGTTTTTCTAATGCATTTCTTGTTTAATAAAGAGCTAGGCTTAGTTGCTTGAATTAAAAACAACAATAAAAGCGAGGGGAAAAAATCATCTCGTCTTTGTACAATTGTCATTCTTTTCTTGAATAGAATCGAAGAGGAACCACTTGGCCCAGTCTTGCCCAGTGTTTGGTTAGATTAGAGCTTCCCAGTGCTGAGTACAATGCCTAAGGGCCATGAAAGGAGGAGGGACCTTCGCAGACCGCCAACTCTAACCGGCTATGCATTGAGAGAATGGGACGTGGCTGTGACAAAGGGTGGAACAAGCCTAGGTAGACAGGACGAACTCTGAAAACCACCCAGGGCCGGCTGCTGGCAGGTTGGCAGCAGGATTGCTTAGGGAAGGCTGGTGTCTGGCTGCCTGAGCTGAAATCTTGGCTCTTGCTTTTGCCATCTGTGTGCCTTGCTGCATGTCAACCAATCCCACTGAGTCTGATTTTTTTCCTTTGTACACTGGAAATCAGAATAACACCTAGATAGCCAGGACTCACAGGTACCAGTACTGAGTGAAATGGAAAACTGTGCGCACAATTCCCATGCGCACAGTTCAGAGGATAACAGGAATCTGTCTCTGTGGTGCTGTGCTATAGGAAGTTGTACCCAGAAGGGACTCTAGGGATCAACTATTGTACAGTAGTTGGGTACCTGGGGCTCAGAGAACTGGGCCTTGGTTAGAGCTCTTGGTCACTTCAAAAGCAGGACCAGAGCCCTGCCTCCCACCTGCATAGCCCATATGGCCCTTCATTCTGCCCATGACAACACGCTCTTGCCCTTTATAATGAAGTATGCTTGCTCTGCACGTGGGATGTCAAACCAGTGAACAAGCATGTGTTTGGATATGAGCAAGGCCAAGATGGGAAGAGAAGAGGACGCACAGAGAGGCACACATGCGTATGTTTGTGGATCAAGGCGCCCACTGTGCCTTAGAGCCAGTGATGGCCTTAGGCTGCTGCAGGGCTCTACCTTAATGTGCTCAGGGTCCACAGCTCACAGCTGCCTCCTCTCTTCGTTTCCCGAGACCCCGAGGGACTAGGAAGCACACACAGGTTGTGTTTTATCCATGCCCTAGTCTTTGTTCCTGGCTGGCAGGAGGGAAAGGAGACGCGCTGCTTTGTGAAGGTGGATCCGGTGGCATGAAAATTGGATCTAAATTCTTTCTCAGCCCCACCCGAGTTCCATTATTTGCGAAAAGCCGAGTCCAGGTGCCTGCTAATTTTACAGGCTGTCGCTCTGCGGTTGAGGTTCTCTCCCTTCCTGGAACTGTTAGGGAGACAGACTGGCCACCTGCCCTGCTGGCCTCTGGGCAGCCTGAGCCAAGCACCTCATGGGACTTGCACAATGCTCCTCTCTTACCAATCGGGACCAGGCAGTGATGAGAAGAATTGCATGTAGGGGAGAAAGTCTAGACCAGTGGTTCTCAAACTGTGGGCCACGACCCCTCTGGGCAAGCCACTATCTCCAAAAATATTTACATATGGTTCATAACAGTAGCAAAGATACAGTCATGAAGTAGCAGTGAAAATAATTTTATGATTGAGGGTCACCACAGCATGAACCGTATTAAAGGGTCCCAGCATCAGGGAGGTTGAGAAGCGCTGGGGTAGAGGCTTCTGGGGTGTTTAAAGGACTCCAATATCTGATGCTAGAGATGGATTTTCACCTGGGGATTCTGCATACACACAAAGAATCAAAGGTCAGTGGCTGAGTTTCCTGGGGATGCTGCCAAGGCCTGTTCCCGATCCCCAGGTACCCCAGAACAGGAGGATACAGACATCATCCTTTTCCCACAAAACAGATTGTGCCTAGTGTGGAGCAATGGAAATGAAGTCAGAGACAACTCCAGGGCACTCCAGTCTGCCTGCTATAAGACACATGGGTGTGACTTAGTGTATCCCCGCATGCCCCAGCTTTGGAAGCACGGTCTGGTTCTTCGGCGCTTGTCGTGTGGTCTTGGTGAAGCCATGCTTAACCCCCTGGTATGGTTTTTTGATATGTAGAATGGCAGAAAGTTATACTTGTGCCCTGTATGTACAGAGGCAAAGACTCAGAGCTCTTACTGCAGATGGCCTTCAGCTTCCACATGCTAAAGGCACACCTTGGTGTAGGGTGGTTGGTGGGAGACAGGCATTTCCCCTTCGTGTTTTCAGACTTTGAATGACGTCAGGGTGTAGCCACACCCAAAGGGAGGGGAATGGGGGGCAAGTAGTAAGTGACTTCAACTTGACCTTGAGCAGACTCTGCTTTCAAGTCACAAGTATGCCTCCTTGCCATTACAAAAACCTCTCTCTCTCTCTCTCTCTCTCTCTCTCTCTCTCTCTCTCTCTCTCACACACACACACACACACACACTTGAGATTCAGAACATAAAACAGTCTTCTAGGCTGCCCTATTTGGAGGAGAAGCCTGGGCATTATTTTCTTCTTGAGCAGTTTTATGCCCCGGCTGCTTTAAAATGTTAGTATTTTTAATTAATGCCTCTTTATTGTCCCTGTTCTCTCAAGCTCTTCTCCTGAAGGGCACAGTTTTAGAAATCTAATAACAGAGTAGGTAGTGTTTATCGAGGTTCTTAGCTGAAAGCCAGCGTGCTTGCCATGTAGAAAGTGCATTTTAGATTTAAGAAAAGGGCAGTGTGACGTTAAGATTCTCGAAAAAGTAATCAATATTTCATTTCTTTCAAGTGGCTGGGGAAGGTTACAGAACTATTACAACACACAACTTTCCCTAGATACTATCTTTACTTAAAATTGACTGCTGAATACTTTGTAAAAAAATTTACCATTTATGCCTGGACACATCGTGAGGCCCGTGATGCATATCACCCCGGCAGAAATTAACTGTGGGTCGACAGGACCGTGAGTACTGCAGACAGAGCCAACGCTGCTGTCGGAGCATCGTCTTATCTTACATCCGTCGTCCTGTAGAGTGTTTCTCTAATAGACCTTGGGTTGATACGACCCCCACACCCACCCCTGGGTATTCTGTTAAACAACCAATCAAGAAGAGGAGCCCTTTCTGTGCCCATGGGACGGTTCTGCTGGCTCCCGGGCCCCGTGGCAGTGTGCTCAAACTGCCTGCACGCTGGGCCCCATAGCATGGATCAACTTGTCTTTGCTGAGACAGGCATGCTAGGCATTCAGTCTTCCTATGGGCAGGAAGGACAGCTCGTGCTCATGAACACCCTCATCCTACAGACGTTGGAAATTGATGGAGAAGTGGAGCCAAGGCCTCAGGGCTCTGGGAAGTCCACTCCACTATTTCTCTGCCTGTTTTCAGGACCACCTGTTTTTAAGATGGGGTCTATGGACCCCCTAGGTATCTCAGTGACATTTCTGGGAGTGTTACAATTTTCACTGTAATTCGAAGGTGTTACTGGTCCACACTCTTGGGAATGTGGGGAGAGTTTTGAATCCATGGATGCACAGTATGGCCTATAGAAGCAGAGTTGAGAGTCCGGCTGTCAGAATAAACCAGTTGATACCAACAAGTCTGCAAAATGCAAGATGGCAATACTCTCATCAAATCTCTCTCTCTCTCTCTTTCTCTCTCTGCCTCCCTCTCTTCCTCCTGTAATCCCAAAACTCAGATGGCTGAGGCAGAAGGATTGTGCATTTAATGCCAGCCCCATCTCAAAACAACAACAACACACTTTTTTTGTGTGTAAATATGGAATGGGCATATTCTTTGTAAATATTTAAATATTTCTCAGTTCAAACTTAGGATAAAAAATAGTCGTTGTAACTCACATATGTAAAAACTATTGGGTTCTCAAAATTTTTGAGAGTTTAAAGGGGTCTGGTACCTGATGGTTAGAGACCTTCTGTGGGAAGAGAGAACAGACTCTGGCTTCTGGGCTCAGACAGGCAGTGAGCTAGCCACTGGGGCAGGGTTGAAAACGCAGTTGTTCATGGTCAAGGGGAGTCCTGGCCAATGCATCTCATCTCTTTTTTCCCCACTGTGTCTGCCTTTGGAACAGTTTGAAAAACACTACCCTAGACAGTACAAAGAGCCCACCCCGGCTGCTTGGGCAGTGGCCAGGCATCTCTTACCTGCTTTGGCAAGGATGGGTCTCCCAAGAGCAGCCGGGCAGCTGAAGAGGGTGAGCCTGCTGGCGCTGGCGTTCTGAAGCTGTCCTGATGAAAGGCAAGGGGTTGAGAGCTCTCAGAGTCATTCTCCTCTGCGGATCTGCCCTCGGTCGTGACCCTGAGCTGCCCCTCCAGCCTCCTGTTGGGGCCCTGTTGGGGCCTCCAGGTTCTGGTAGCGTCCTTGGAAGGGATAGTGAGAATGACGAATTAGCTTCAAACTGAGAGGAGGCAGATGGGCAGAATATGGACCACTTGTTCCTGGGTGTTTTAGTCATAGTGGCTTCACCATCCTCAAAGTGACTCGTCTCCTTGGAGCCCTGAGAGGCAGACGCTGAGGGAGATGATGAGGAGGCAGAGGAAGAAGTGTTTGTTTCTGTCCGATGGACAGGTGGGCTCTCCTGGGCTTGGTTAAGCTGCAGGTATCCACATGGTGGGGACGTTGACTTCTTTATGGCTGGTGGGCTCAGTGTCCTGGGGCTCAGAGGTGGGCTAGGGGTGCTGAGAACCGCAGGGAGGCCTGGCTGGGACAATCCACTAGAGGAGGGGAGGCTCTGCAGCCTCCTGTCCCCTGGGGATGCCCGCTGTGCTCTCGTGGGAGAGGTTTTCCTGATCCCTGGAGGGCTTCTCTCTGGACCCTTCCTGGATGCTTCTGGAGAGTGTGGACCTTGTGAAGAGCGGGCCAGGCTTGGTTCCCAGGTCTTGCTTTGCCCAGATGTGGGGTTAGGGTGGTGCCAAGGGTTTGCCTTCTGGCCATGTTCAGAGAGCCTTGCAGCATCCTCCTCTGGTATCTGAATCTGAGCTCCAGCCTCTGCCTCTGGGCTTGAGCTCACTGCTTGCTGGGAGTTCAGGCCCAAGGTCAGCTTTCTGGAATTGCCCACATTCCTGATGATCCCTGGCCCAGTGCTGTGCAGCCTCAGGGAGCTGCCAGTGCTTTTGCTAGGGAGCAAGTCCATGGGGCTCATGGAGGCTCTCAGCTTGGGGGAAGCCCATGTTTTCCTTGGTGGGCCAGCTTCTTGCAGCCCTGGTACCAGGGTCTCGTCCACTGGGCTCTGTGCTGGCTGACTTCTCTCGGGGTGTTCCAGAGCAGTGAATGACTTGTCCATTAGGATTTCCAGAGGAGGTGGGGGGAGGTTCTCTAGGTCTTCCTCTGCTTCCCAGCTGTTGTCCTCACTATTGGATGCCTCTGCTGTAGGAAGGGAGGGAAAGGGGGGAAAGGGTGCAGAAGGCCTCCAGCCCATGCTCACCCTGAGAGGTTCTCTGCCTGCTGCTGGAGAAATTTGGGGCTTAGCATACAGAGGGGCTAGCCCTCTGTATATAGGAAATCTGGGAGGGATGGCAGGGACCCCCCACTTTCTGAGGCCGGGGCTTGACCCCAAGTTCCTGGAGTCCCTTGGCATCCTCAGACTTTCATTGGGACTGAAGGCCTCAATGAGCTTCTTCACTGACGTTCTGGTGGGACAGTCCCTGATGTCCCATTCAGTGTTCCTGGGAACCCCACTGTTCTTCTCACCACAAAAAATGGCATTTGGCAGCTTCCCAGCCTTCTTCTGGCAGGGCTGCTCATGGTCAGAGAGGTGACCACCTCTTTGCAAGATGCTCTTGTCTTGATTGGGCAGAATGCTGAAGTTTTTGGTGAGGGAGGCCTTGAACTTGCTGATGGTACTACTGGGACTTACCCTGCAGTTGGAAGGGGGCCACAGCACTGACGTCCTGGGTTGCAGAAGCTGTTCCCTGTTCTGCCTCTGCCGTGTATGACCCAGGGCATAGAATACCTCCAGTCTCTGACTGAGGTCTGTCTGAACCCTCTTCAGCTCCTGGAGGGTGGGGTCTTCCATGTGGCTCTTAAGACTTCCCTCTGATTGTGACCTCCTTTGTCTCTCAGGGGCCCTCCTGCTGCCACAGGCTGTGTTAGGTCTTGGAGGGACTATTGTTGTCCTCTCCTCCTCCTCATCCCAGTCCTGGGGTCTGGAAGGCACAGGGACAAACTTGATCCTTTCACTGATGGCTTCTTTCATCTTCAGAATCATTTCCTGAGCCTGGGGGCTCCTCAGCTTCCTGGAATATGGCTGAAACAGGCTTTCCCGGGTGGGAGGTGAGGACCGTGGTCTTGGAGGTGATGCTTTCTGTTGCTCAGCATGCAGATCCGTGCTGCTAACTTCATCTTCCTCCTCCGGGCTGCTGTCCTCATCTTCGCTCAGGGATGGAGCATCCACCAACCCAGAACTCTGAGAAAAATGTGTTTGCACAGGGGTATCAAACCCGAGGGAACTCCGCAGAATGCTTTTGGCAGCCTCTGGAGGCCTGGAGGTGACTGCTTCTGAGCCGGTGCTGGAGGCACGAGAGTGCCTAGCTTTATCCTGTGCCACAGGCTGAACCTTCGCTATCCTAGGCTTCGACAGGGGACAGTCTTGGTGTCTGTCTGAACCTGTCCAAAATGGACCTTTCTGCCAGGCATGCCCTGCCACCCTGACTTCCACTTGGGGTGCAGTCCCTGGCTTCTCTTCACCAGGCTCTGCTGCCAAGTCCCAGCTGGTTTGCTTGCCCAGCTTCTCCATGGATTGCACAGACTCATTGTCGGCACCGATGCCACTGTCCTCAGAGCACAAGGGTGGACCCTGCAGCCCAGGGTCACCGTGGCCCGTGGTCAGGCTCTCTAGTTGTCCCAGGGCCCTTAGGAGGCCTTCGTCTATACCTCTCTGGGTGTTCAGTTTACCCTTCAGGTGGCTAGCCACAGTGCTGAGACAGCTGCTGGAGCTCTCCAGCAAGGTCCCAGTGAGGTCAGCCACTGTGCCGTGGACCACCTGCAGCTTGTTGACTGTGTATTGCAGCAACTGTTGCAGGAGGTCTGGCTGTTCCCAGGGCTCACCTGTCCTGGACGGCCAGGCCAGATCCCCTCTAACTTCCTGGAGGAGCACATCTCCATCTTTGGAGATTTCTCCCAGGAGCTGGCTGACTTCCTGGAAACACAGCAGCAGGAAGCTGAGCATGGGTTGTAACAGCTCCCAGGTGTGGCTGGCCTGCTGGACGAGACGCAGAATCGCTTCGTATCTGGAGAGGCTAGCATGCAGATAGGCATACGTGTGCTGGTGGGCCTTTACCAGGGGCTCAGGGAAGTCCACTTGGCCTTTTGACTCAGGAATAGTTTGGTAGCAATGGCTCTGGTTGTCTGACTGATGGCACCTTGGTTTGTTGTCCCATTTTGAGGTCTCCTGGGGCATGTTTTCCTCACTCTCTCGCCAAGCAGAATCTGCTTCTTGTATCCCGAGGGAGCCATCTGCCCTGAATGACATGTCCGCAGCGGTGCGGCTTTGTGGAATGTTCAGCTGGAATCTTTGACTTTCTGGAATTGGGCCTTCCATATCTTCTGTGAGCTGACAAAGACCGTCAGACATGGTTTGGGGCTTCTTGGAACTCGCTGACTCCTCTGCTGGCTTCTGTCCCAGGTGCGGTTCCCAACCAGGGTCACAGAAGGTGGAACTTTGAACCAGCAAAGGGATGGGACATTTTTGCCTGCCCCTCTGACCTTCTGGCAAAATTGCTTTGGGCTTCTTAAAAAACTGAATGCCACTCTTGGCCACGCTGTTGACAAGGACACTGTGTGATGGCGTGCACCCCATGGTTTCAGCTTCTCACCATCTTCTCCCTTTGCAGTCTTTGGAGAATCCTTGGGACTGGGGACAGAAGTCTCCCTGGCTAGTCTATCCGGGCAACGCCAGTCCAAACTGAGTCCATGGTACACACTCCTAGACTTGGAGCCCGTGCCACGATGAAGAGGAAGACATGCCGTAGTCCTAAATTTTGCAGCTTCTGCTGTTAGTGAGCAGCGGAACAGTTCTGACGGGCCCCAGGCTCATGGATTATGGACCTGTGTTTTGCTCCTGCCCTGACAGATGTGGATGGCGAGTGAAGCTCTAAGCTTATTAGGGTAATCATGCCCCAGCCAGTCAGCACTGGGAGTGTTCTAATATAGAACTTCTCAGCATTTACTATCTTGGGAAGCAGATTATTTTTGCACGTGCTCATACTTTAATTCTGTTCCAATGCTTGCCATAGGAAACCTAGAGAAATGAGCCATAATTGTGAAAGGCTAGGCAAGATGTTGTGGGAGGGAAATGAGGGCTTGCTGATTATAAACCCTGGAAAAGCCATGCCCTTCACTGTTTAATAAGGGCAAAGCAGCTAAGGGTTCAGTTTGCTCTTATCAGGAAGACCCAAATGCTGGGCACAGTGGTGCATGACTGAAATTCTGCCATTCAGGAGGCTGAGGCAGGAGGATTGCTAGTCTGGTTACACAGTGAGTTCCAAGCTAGCCTGGGCTATAGAGTAAAATGCTGTCTTAAAAACAAAAGCAAAGCAAGAAAAAAACAAAAATACCAGGATAAGCAAGAAAAGCGACAATAGAAAATGGAGTCAGAACCTGGGCGGTGGTAGCACAAACCTTTAATCCCAGGATCTGGGAGGCAGAGGCAGGCAGAAATCTGAGTTTAAGGCCAGCCTGGTCTACAGAGTGAGTTCCAGCACAGCCAGGGCTACACAGAGAAACCAAGTCTTGAATACAAAACAAAATAAAAACAGAAAAATAAATAAGAAAGAAAGAAAGAAAGAAAGAGAAAATGGAGTCAGGTAGGAGGAAGCGTATGCTTCCTGGCCTGGAGGAGGAAGGCGGGGAAAGTCAACGTCATACAAGCTCATGCCTTGTCATTAGAACCTGTAGTGGCTCAGGGCCATGCTCCTCTGAGAAGAGACTTTCTGTTGAATTGCCTTATAGGAAAACAAACAAATCCTTGGCAGTGGAGTTATTTGTTCCTAAGAACATAATTCTAACACATTACATAGTCTTTCCCACCCCTTCCCACTATGTAGTCCTGGCTGGCTTGGATCTTGCTATGTGGATCAGGCTGGCCGTGAACTCTCAGAGATTCCCTGCTTCTGCCTCCTGAGTACTGGGATTAAAAGTTTGTATCGCTACATCCGGCTCTAATTCCTTGCTGTTGGGGAAGTCTAGAGCAGATATGTCTAATCTGCCATCTAACATGAAATAGGGAATTTACTTAAAACATTATTATTATTATTATTATTATTAGCTTGATTGCACAGTTCACAGGTGTGAACTTTGTGGACTACACCATCATGTTGTATTGTCAAAATATTCTAGAAAATAAGGCTTGGCAAAGGGAGATATGGGTTGATTTGGGGGAAATTATTATTATTATTATTATTATTATTATTATTATTATTATTAATGTTTTATTTTTGGAGACAGGCCTTACTGTGTAGCTCAGGCTGGCTTTGGGCTTTCCATAGTCTTGTCTTAGTCTTCTGGATAGATGAAAATTACAGTATACAACTTTGCAGGTTGAGTTGGGGGAACGTCAGAAAACTATTTAACTCTACTGAGGAAGAGGATTTTTGTTTTGTTTTGCTTTATTTTAATAAAGATAGGGCCATTCTATGTGGCTAGGGCTAGCTTGAAACACACAACCCTCCTGCCCCAGCCTCCTGAGTGCTGGGATTATAAGTGTGTACCACCATGCTTGGCTGAGGCCATCTTTAAAGTGGAGACAATGGTACTTGATCCGCTGGGTTCTTATGGGGTGTAATGGATCAATGGTCTAAATAACCACTCAACTCACTTTATTACTCCCCCAAAGCCCATGCTACACCACTTATAATAGGAAAAGTCCCCTGGAAACTAATGGTTTATCAAGGCCTAATCTTTTCTGAAAGTTTCTGGAAGAGCTGCCAACAGCGTATTCTGAGCCCTCTGAATCCACATCTGTCTTGTTTTGACCCCCCCTCCTCCATCCCCATCTACATGGAAAGGTCCTATGCTGGGTACCTGGCTGGTTCCCTGAGGCTTCACACTGACATTTCTCTCCTCTTACACATAATGGTTCCATCTTTCTGCAGAGGGCTACTATTTAACCATTTCTCATTTTTGGATGACTAGTTCGTTGTCAGTTTTAACTTTTTATAATAGAACAAGAACATTCACATTGGGCATCCCCCGAGGGCGCTGAGACTGAAGTTGGCATTCCCACCTCCATCATTTTTGCTTAACTGAGCTCTGGGCAGCCCGGAAGCCTTTGGAACAGAATGGACGGCGAAGCCACCTCCCTTGCTTGGAATAAGCGGGAGCCTGACTGCTGGGGCTCTGTGCAGAGCCTCATGCCCAGCACAGCTGGGGCCCCAGAGTGCATCATTAGCCAAGTTCCCAGGTCTGTTGATTTGAAGCAGAGCTCAAGGGAAGGCCGGCTGAAGCAGCGCCTGGGGGTGAGCTATGTTAGGCCGTGAGATGTTTTATTTGTCACCTTCCTGGGCTGGTGGGTAAACATGGGCTCTGCATGGAGACATCCTTCACACGCTGGATCTCACAACGAATAGAGCAGAAAGCTCATCTGGAGAATGCTTCATGCAAATGTGCTCCTTTTGGGACTGGAGGGTCCCACATGAATTAGCTGTGTACGAGCCTTTGATCTAAATGACGGAAAGTGTTTCTAAACCAATGGCTGGAATCACAGTATTTGCCCAGAAGTTCAGTTGTCAGCACTGCAGACCTCCCAGGCTGGGTTTCTCGCCGCATACAAATAGTTCAGAAAGCTGAGCATTTGTTGCCATTCATTTTGCATTAAGACCAACTTTTACTTTTCTTCCTTCTTAAAGGGGTTGTTTCACATGCTTAAAACAAAACAACACAAACCTCTTAGCAGTGAGAAATACTGCTACTTTGGATAAAACTCACATTTTAACACATGCCCTTTGGCTCATCAGTTCTAAGAAAAAAAAAATTAATGAGTATTGAATGCATGTGTCCACAGATAAATCAGTATGAGAATATTCATGGTAATCATATCCATAATATTCTGAAATTGGAGACCATATAATTGTCTGTCAACAGGGAAGGATAAGTTTGATATTTGTGCAAAATGGAGCACCACTCATCAATAAAAGGAGAAAATAAAGAAAATATACATGACATGGATAAATTTAAAAATGATCGTGATGATGTGGTGGGCGTGGTGGATCACACTTGTAGTCCTGGATACTCAGGCTAATACAGAAAGTCTTATTTAATCCTCACCTGCCTCAAAAGGAAAAACATGCCAATTGTGGTGGCACACAGTTTTGATCCCAGCACTCGGGAGGCAGAGGTAAGTGGATCTCTGCGAGTTCAAGGCCAGCCTGGTCTACAAGAGCTAGTTCCAGGTTAGTCAAGGCTACATAGCGAGACCCTGTCTCCAAAAACAAAACAAAACCCAGCTCCCCTCCAAATCCTTAGCCAGGTATGGTGTTGCAGGTCTCTAATACCACGACTTGGGCTGCTGAGTCAGGAGAATTACTGAGTTCATGGTGAGCTGGGTTGCAGAGTGAGTTCAAGACCAGCCTGGGATGCAAGCTGACATCTTGTCTCAAAACAGAGCAAAGCAAAACCTAAAAAAGAACGAGTGAAAGATGCCAGGCGTTGAAGGGTACACATGGAAAGAGTTCGTGTATGTGGTCAAGAGCAGGAAAAACTAGCCTATGATTATTGATCAGAAGAACGGTTTCTCTAGTCCGAACTATGGGCTGTGGAGAACTATGTGGACATGGAGAATTTCCTAGGATAGTGGAAACAGTTTATGTCTTGATCTGCGTGGTGCTTTTCTAGGGATATGTATCCTCGAGTTATACAGCGCTGTTATCCACTTCACCAACACTACACATACATTCCTAGTTACAGCACAGTCTTGTATACTTTGTTTTGTGTCAGAGAGAGTTCTAATTATGGCGCTGCTGATTTGGGTAAGGGTCCCTGTTTTCACTGGCTGTTGTTATATGAGCACTCTAAAACAAAAATACTATCTCATGTTCTGTCCGTATTGTGTGGGTCTCTCCATAGAGCTGCTTGAGTGTTCTTACAGTATGGCAGTCGGCTTTCCCAAAGAGCAAAGAAGAGACCACCATGCCAACCTTCATAAGGTCATTTTACTTTCTCCATATTGTATTCTTAACAAGACATTAGGGCCGGGTGGTGGCACACGCCTTTAATCTTAGCACTCGGGAGGCAGAGGCAGGCGGATCTCTGTGAGTTCGAGGCCAGCCTGGTCTACAAGAGCTAGTTCCAAGACAGGAACCAAAATGCTACGGAGAAACCCTGTCTCGAAAATAAAAAAACAAACAAATAAACAAAAAAAAAAAACCCAAGACATTAGGGACAATCACACTCAAGAGGAAGGTAAGCTCTACCTTCAAGGGGTCGTTAAAAATGAGGTCATAGGTTAAACTATGAAATCAAAACAGACTCATATAAATAAATGTAAATATTGCCGGGTGGTGGTGGCACATGCCTTTAATCCCAGCACTTGCGAGGCACAGGCAGGTGGATCTCTGTGAGTTCGAGGCCAGCCTGGTCTACAAGAGCTAGTTCCAGGACAGGCCCCAAAGCTACAGAGAAACCCTGTCTCAAAAAACAAACAAACAAAAAAGGTGTAAATATTGTTTTGTAATGTGCTTACTCCATGCCTTGTAATGAGTTAAATAAGTTTCCCCCTCCCCCCATTTTGGTTCATATGACCCAGATATAATTAGATAGTATGCTGGCTAATTTTATGTCAACTTGACACAAGCTAGTTTCTTCCTCCATAAGATCTGGTTGTAGGGCATTTCATTTTCTTAATTAGTGATCAAAGGGATGGGGGCATTCCATTGCAGCTGAGGCCACCCTGGTCCTGGGTTCTGTAAGAAAGTAGGGTGAGCAAGCCATGATGAAATCAGTAAGCAGCTCCTCTCCATGGCTTCTGCAGCAGCTCCTGCCTCTAGGTTCCTGCGTTTGAGTTCCTGTCCTGGCTTCCTTCAGTGATGAACAGTGATGGGGAGG